CCCAGGCCTCTCCCATGGGTTCCAGACCCCTAGATCCTGTAGACTACTCAAGACCTCCATTTGGCTGTCTCCTAGGCAGGTCAAATTTAACAGGTACAAGACTGAGCTCTTGATCTTCCCCACACCTTGCTCCTCCAGAGGATTTCCCACCCATTTATGAGAAATTTCATCCTTCCGGTTACTCAGGCCCAAAACCTTGCTCCTTTTCTTTCTGTCACACCCACAGTCCATCCATAAGCAAACTGTCTTCCCCTCCCCTGATTTCTCACCAGGATTACTGCAGCACCCTCCAGACTGGTTTTTCTTACCCCCTTCTGTCTATAATCCTGCTAAAATGTCCATCTGATTGTAGCAGTGCCCTGGTGAAAATTCCAGTGGCTTTTCATCTCAGAAGGAAAACCTAAGTCCTTGCAATGATCAGTACTGCCTCACTGGACTGCCCTGTGTCCTCTCTGAGGACATTTCCTGCTGCGGGTCCCTCACTCTGGGCTACCCACACTGGCCTTCTTGCTGTTTCTCAAGCTCACCAGGCACGCATTGTCCTGAGGGCTTTGAGCCAGCTGTTTCTTCTCCCCTAAGTGTTCTACCCTCAGAAAGTCAAGTGGCTCACTCCCTTACCTTCAGGGGGTCTTGACTCTCATCATTTCCAGTCTTGCCTGATCACCCTATTTAAAAGTAAAGCCTTCACCATGATGGATCTCAGCACCTCCCTTCTCTTTCCCTGTTTGACCTTTCTTCACAGCACTTACAATCATCTGTGGTGGACTGAAACACATGGCCACAGTATTTTGCAGCTACTCCTGTCAATCTGGGCTAGGCTTGTGACCAGTAGAATGTGGTGTATCAGCTCCAGAGCCTAGAAAGAAGAGATCTTGCAGCTTCTGCCTTCACCCTTTTGGAAAACTGCCCTGAGGCCATCATGCATTGAGGAAACCCAGGAGGAAAGACTGCAGAGAGGCTCAACCATCCCAGCTCTCCCAGCTGAGCTCAGCCGCCCACCCATCCCCCAGCTGAATGCAACCCTAAGAGTGAGCCCAGGCCAGGTGCAGGGTCTCACGGCTGTAATCCCAGCACTTTGGGAGGCTGAGGTGGATGGATCACCTGAGACCGGGAGCTTGAGACCAGCCTGACCAACATGGAGAAACCCCGTCTCTACTAAAAATACAAAATTAGCTGGGCATGGTGGCGCATGCCTGTAATCCCAGCTACCTGAGAGGCTGAGGCAGAAGAATCGCTTGACTCTGGGAGGCGGAGGTTGCGGTGAGCCAATATTGTGCCATTGCACTCTAGCCTGGGTAACAAGAGCGAAACTCCATCTCAAAAAAAAAAAAAAAGAGTGAGCCCAGGTGAGACCTGCAAAGATTTGCCCAAGCAAAGCAAATCTGTATATTTATGAGATAAATGCATAGAATGACTAGACAAATGAAAGACAGGCCAGACAGACCAGAGCTTTGTGTGGATTTTAGTTAATTTGACTTAGTACTCAGTCCTACTTTACGAATTCTCTTTTATACATCAAAGTCCTTACTTGCAATGTGCTATCAGGCATGAGGTGTTTAAGTGTCAGCAACCAAATCTGGTGTTGCATTTACTCTACCATAGCATATGTCAGGGGTCAGGCCCACACTGTATATGGAAATAAGCCTGTCGTCTCATTTGCTATTACCAAGTGACTCTAGTGTTACTATTGTTTGTCAAAGTTGGAGTGTTTAAATATTTTGAAATATTTTTTAACATATCTCCCTCTACCCCACCAGTGGACATTTAGCTGGGGTCTACATGCTTGTTAATTTTTTCTTATAATTTCCTTATTCTCTCCACTCTCAATTACTTTTATTCTCCACTGGATATGAAAAAAAAAAAAAAGCCTCTTTAGAAGGAAGACACTGAAATTTATAGTAAATACTTAATGCTTCTTCATTCTAGAATACAAAGTCTTTTATGTTCTACTAAAAATAACTTTGACTTTGATCCCCTTGTTTCATTCATCATTATAACCTTAAGACTTTTTTTTCCAAATAATCCCCACCCCAGCCCTCTCCAGTCAGGCTGAGTCCTACCCCAGGAGCCAGTGCTTTCCATTCCTCCTCCTGGCTTTTTTTTTCTTTTCCCTAGGTTACAAAATTGATCCTAAAAATACTAAAATATTTTAATTGCTTTCTATTATCATAAAAGGTATTACTTTTTCACTCAAAATGAATATCTCTTTATCTTAAATAAAAGTTGAAGCCAGGTACAGTGGCTCATGCCTGTAGTCCCAGCACTTTGGGAGGCTGATGTGGGCAGATCATTTGACGTTAAGAGTTTAAGACCAGCCTGGCTGAAAGGTGAAACCCTGTCTCTGCTGAAAAATACAAAAATTAGCGGGTGGTATTGGTATATGCCTGTAACCCCAGCTACTTGGGAGGCTGAGGCACAAGAATTGCTTGAACCTGGGAGGTGGAGGTTGCAGTGACCTGAGATTGTGCCATGGCACTCCAGTCTGGCTGACAGAGCAAGACTCTGTCTAAAAAAAAAAAAAAAAGTTGAAAAAATAAAAAATAAGGAAATATCTCTTTTCTCTCTCTCTCTTCGAGGATTACAGGTATGTACCACCATGCCTGGCTAATTTTTGCATTTTAGTAGAGACCAGGTTTCACTGTGTTGGTCAGGCTGGTTTTGAACTCCTGACCTCATGATCTGCCTGCCTCAGCCTCCCAAAGTGCTGGGATTACAGGTGTGAGCCACTGTGCCTGGCATAGTCTCCTCTTTTCATATGACAGGGGTTAGTCTTCTTTTTCTGGTGGAATATAGTAAATTGTTGAATTACAATAGCGTGTTGTTAGAAATCTTGCATGATATCTAATGAATCTGGCCTCCCTGTCTTCTGGCTGCATGGGGCACCACAGCTTTCCAAGGCCATGTGCGAATGCTGAGTTGGCTGCTCTGTACTACGTATGCATGGGACGCAGGAACCCATCTTCTACATTGCTTAGGTCTTTCTTCCCTCCAATCTGCATATTAGAAAAGCATGATTTGGGACTAAATTTTGCTGATTGATGGTCATGATTTAAAAGCTAATACTTTTTGATCACTTCTTTGTGCCAGGCATTTGGCATTTAATTCTCTCATAAAGTTTACCCAAGAATCAGCATTTATTATCTGTTTTATGACTGATGAGACTAAGGCTCAGAGAAGTTAAGTGACTTGCTGAAAGTCACACAGCTAGGACTTGCTAAAGCCAGGCTTCAGATTTCCCAAGCAGTGCTGGACTTAGTGCTCGTAACTTTTGGGTCACATCTCCAACCACAGATTTCTGGTACTTTTCCCACAGTGCAAGGGATGGTGACTGTGCCCAGCACTTTTAACAAAGTGCATGCTCTGCTTCTAATGTAAGGATTCAATGCTGTTCTTTAATTGAACTTATAATTACTGTTTTAAGTTGGGAAAAGCTCTGGATCCTATTGTTAGCAATCATAGAAATTGTTCCAGCCAGGAGTGGAAGCTCACGCCTGTAATCTCAGCACTTTCAGAGGCCAATGAGGGCAGATTGCTTGGGGCCAGGAGATCAAAACCAGCCTGGGCAACATGGTGAAACCCTGTCTCCACTAAAAATACAAAAATTAGCCAGGTATGGTGGTGCACACCTGTAGTCTCAGCAAATCAGGAGGCTGAGGTGGGAGGATCCTTTGAGCCCAGGAGGTCAAGGCTGCAGTGAGCTGAGATTGAGCCACTGCACACCAGCCTGGGCAACAGAGTGAGACCTTGTCTCAAAAAAGAAAAAGAAAAAGAAAATGTTTTATTTTAAATAGGTCTTCTATATTATCAGGTAAGGAAAAGTTTAAAAATAATGGTAACTACCATATTATCATTTTATAACTTCTATATTTTGTGTCAAATATTATTTAAACTTGTTATCACTCGGCTTATTATTATTATGATTATCATTATGATTATTATTTGAGACAGAGTCTTACTCTGTCACCCATGCTGGAGTGCAGTGGTGCAGTCTCGGCTCACTGCAGCCTCCACCTCCCGAATTCAGGCGATTCTTCTGCCTCAGCCTCCCAAGCAGCTGGGACTACAGGAGCCTGCCACCATGTCCAGCTAATTTTTGTATTTTTAGCAGAGAAAGGGTTTCGCCATGTTGGCCAGGCTGATCTCAAACTCCTGGCTTCAAATGATTCACCCACCTTGGCCTCCCAAAGTGCTTGGATTACAGACATGAGCCACCACACCCAGCCGGATTATTTTTAATTAATAAGAAAATGAGCGGGGCATAGTGACTCACACCTGTAATTCTAGCACTTTGGGAGGTCAAGGAGGGCAAATCACTTGAGGTCGGGAGTTCAAAGTCAGCTTGGGCACATGGTGAAACCCCGTCTCTACTAAAAATACGAAGATTAGCTGGGCCTAGTGGCGGACACCTGTAGCCCCAGTGACTTGGGAGACTCACTTGAGCCCAGGAGGCAGAGGTTGCAGTGAGCTAAGATCACACCACTGCAGTCTAGCCTGGCCACAGTGAGACCCTGTCTCAAAAAAAAAAAAAAAAAGAGAGTTATTTATTCAGATCTATAGTACTGTTGATTAGAAAAGGGATGATAAGAAAAACTTCCTCTTTTTAAGAATGACAAAGTTACATAAACATTAAGTCTGTGCTCTCCGATAAGTAGCCACACATGGCTACTTAGCATTTGAAATTTGGCTGGTTTGAATTGAAATATATTGTAAGTGTAATGTACAAACCAGATTCTGAGAACTCAGGACATGTACAAAAATGAATATAAAATATCCCATTGGCAACTTTTACATCAATTACATGTTGAAATGACAACATTTTGGATATACTGAGCTGACTAAAATATAACTATAAAGTTAATTTCACCTGTTTCTTTTATCATTTTAATGTAGTTGTTAGAAAAATTTTAATTACATATGTGACTTCCTATTTTCTATTGGACAGTACTGAGTTAAGTGATTACTTACGGATAAAATAAAGTATTAGCGTGGGTGGAATCAGGCAGTTCACAGCACACATGTTCACCAGCGAAAGCATGTTTTTCCCAAGTGATGAGCTTAAATATCTCTGTGATATCAATGCTACCATTTTCTCAAGGTTCCAGCTGCTAAGGCTGCCACTACATTCCTAAGAGCCACAGGAAAAGGCATTTGCTCCTCTATAGAAATTCTCAGACTGATTTTTCACTACAGATACCTTCCTGTTCTCTTTATATGTTACTGATGTGGACCAGGGTAACATATAAAGAACAGGAAAGTACCAACATTTCCCATGTGGGTTTCAAAGGAGATGGCATGGTTCAGAGCAGCGGGCACCAGTGCAGATCGGCCATCTCCGCGGCAGAGGTGATCGTTTCCAGCGTAGCAGTGCAAAGCCAAAGGGCACCCACGAGTTCATTACATAATTCCTGGTAGCATGAGGCCAAGTGTGTATCTGCCCTGGGGGAACAGTCAGAGGCTCCGACAGGCAGACCTAGGCAGTCGGACTGACTATGTTTTCACAAAGTGTATGCTCGCAGTTGTTTGTTTGGAAAAAGACTGACCAGCTTTTCTTCCCCCCTCCTTTCCCCTCTTTCTTTTTTTCCCTTGTAAACTCTCTGGCATAATACTGAATGGCTTTGTTTTTAAGCTGCCTTAGGCTTGCTTTGTGAGGAAAAAGACTCAATATCCTTTCCCTGTGGGACACAAGTTGTTATTTTTGGAGCAGAAGTTCTTAGCCTGATCTCTGTCTAGATCAATTTCTGTCTTGATGAGGCCGTGGTCTGTGACAGCTCCGAGCATTCTCTGAGGAGGGAGACTTCCTCACTTAGTGGGAAGCATGGACAAAGATGTCTAGGGGCCACATCTGACACTTCACTGCTCTTGGTCTCCACACGAAGGGTCCTGGGCATTCGGAGTCTGCTCGTTAGATTGTGCCCTTGGAACAGTCGCAGCCGCATGCCGTGAGTGGCATGCTTTCTGTCATTGGGATCATGGAAAATTCTTGTCTCATTCAGAGCCCAGATCGTCCAGGCCAACTCCCTTCATCTATCTCAAGAATATGGCTTTTTCTGCTTATTCACTTCATGGTACATTTTGGATGGAGATGGCCCCCTCTTTTAACCCAGATCACAGACTCCAGGTCACAGATGCCTCAGAGCTAAGAAAGCTGGAGGATTTCTGCAGGCTATTTGGGGTGCATCTGTCTTGGCCAACACTGGAGACTCTCAGGCCTCTGGGAACAGAGGGTCTCAGACTCAAAACTCAGAGCATCCCCTCTGTAACCTGCTCTTCGTGTCAGGCTGCTAGACCCTGGGAAGAAACTGCTCCAACTTCTCACAGTTCCTCTGCCTGACCTGCTATTCCTAGGAGTTTCCATAGCTTGAGCCTACTAGGAAACAAGTAAAATTAGAAACAAATTAAAATACTGCATCGGCAACAAATTAGATGGCAACAGTGTGATCACTCCCTTGGAAGACAGTTCTAGCTGGATATTCAGGGTCCAGGGCTATGTGGAGAAAGACCCTAAGACCAAGGGTGCAGCCAACCCCAAGCGGTTGCTGGCCCTGGCAGGTGTCCCAGCGGCTTTCACCTTGGCAGGTGGGAGCATGACCTGTCGTGTGCGGTTCCTGGCGGGCTATACATAGCCAAAGCTTCTTACAAGTGAAACCTCTTTCACACCCTCCACAGGTCCCTCCCACAGGCCAGAAGACTCTCTGTAAATCCCTGGACGTTGTCTCACCCAAGAAGGGGACACAGCCAGCAGTCCTCCAGCCCTCCGGTGCTTCCCGTGGGAGCGCACCCCGTGCTCAGCCATGGTGGACATGGGGGCCCTGGACAACCTGATCGCCAACACAGCCTACCTGCAGGCCCGGAAGCCGTCGGACTGTGACAGTAAGGAGCTTCAGCGGCGGCGGCGCAGCCTGGCCCTGCCCGGACTGCAGGGCTGCGCTGAGCTCCGCCAGACGCTGTCCCCAAACTTCCACAGTCTGTGCGAGCAGCAGCCCATCGGTCGCCGCTTCTTCCGTGACTTCCTAGCCACGGTGCCCACATTCCACGAGGTGGCGACCTTCCTGGAGGAGGTGCAGAACTGGGAGCTGGCTGAGGAGGGGCCCACCAAAGACAGCACGCTGCAGGGGCTAGTGGCCACTTGTGCGAGTGCCCCTGCCCCGGGGAACCCACACCCCTTCCTCAGCCAGGCCGTGGCCACCAAGTGCCAAGCAGCCGCCACCAAGGAAGAGCAAGTGGCTGCAGTGATGCTGGCCAAGGCTGAGGCCATGGCCTTCTTGCAAGAGCAGCCCTTTAAGGATTTCCTGGTCAGCCCCCTCTATGACAAGTTTCTGCAGTGGAAACTCTTTGAGATGCAACCGGTGTCAGACAAGTACTTCACTGAGTTCAGAGTGCTGGGGAAAGGTGGTTTTGGGGAGGTAAGTGTCTCCCAGTAGCCAGGCTAGAAGGTGAAGCATAGAGCGTGAAAGGGGGTGATGTTGCTTTTCTTTTATTTTTTAATCTCGGGAACTTATTTAGAACTAATTTCAGGTTCACAGGTGGAGGATTCCTAGCTCCGTCTCCTCAGCCCCCGTCCTTGTAGCCACAGGTGTGAAATAAAATACAAATAGCATGAAAAAGACAAGCAAAATATAGACTTGGCCAAGACTCTCTATCATGGGTCTCCATCAGGAACGTGCTGAGATGTCCAGACACTTTGGAGAATGACAGCCATGTGTGATGAAAGATCTTATCCCCTAAATTGTGGTAATGAAGGTAATTTGAGAAAAATGGATATTTAAGAAAACACTCTAGCCAGGTGTGGTGGTGCACGCCTGTAATCTTAGTTATCAGGAGGCTGAGGCAGGAGAATCACTTGAGCCCGGGAGGTGGAGGTTGGAGTGAGCAGAGATCATGCCACTGCACTCCAGCCTGGGTGACAAAAAAAAAGAAAAAAGGAAACACTGATCTTGAGAACCTGTTTTGCACCACTGCTGTGCCCAGCTCTTCCTGTTTTTAAGTAATAAAAAATGTTTCAAATAAAATTTGCTTTATATAAAACAAACCATTAACCGTTTTAAAGTGTACAATGCAGTGGCACCTGGCGCATGTACAATGTTGGATAACAAAACCTCTGTGTAGATCCAAGACACTTTCATCACCCCTGTGCCCACCAGCAGTGCCTCCCCATCCCCCTCCCCTGCAGCCCTGTCAAGCACTAGTCCACTTTCTGTCTCTAGAGATTTGCCTATTCTGGATGTTTCACACAATATGTGACCTTTTGTGTCTGGCTTCTTTCATTCATTATAATGTTTTGGGGGTTCATTCACACTGTAGCATGTGTCAGTACTCCATTCCTTTTTATGGCTGCATAATATTCCATTGTATGGATATACTACATTTCATTTAGTCATTCCTCTGCGGATGGACACTTGGGTTGTTTTCACCTTTTGGCTGTTGTGTGTGGTGCTGCTATTCATGCACGAGTATTTGTTTGAATACTTGTTTTCATTTCTCTTGGATGTACGCCCAGGAGTGGAATTGCTAGGTCATATGGTGATACTATGTTTAACTTTTTAAGGAGCCACCAAACTTTCCACATGTTTTATTCCCATCAGTGATGCTCAAAAGTTTCAATATCTCCACATCCTTGCCAACACTTGATATTTCCCTGTATTTTTTTATGAAGGCCACCCAGTGAGGTGAAGGAGTATCTCACTGTGTTCCCCACTTTTTCTTGAAAATACTTCCTATTTACAGCTTCTCCTTTCTCCACAGCCTGCCCTCTCTCCACCCACCTCCTCCATCTGCTTCTCTCCACCTCTCTCCAGTACCATCTACCTCTACCTCTTCCTCTTCCTTTCTCCTTTAAGGTATGTGCTGTCCAGGTGAAAAACACTGGGAAGATGTATGCCTGCAAGAAACTGGACAAGAAGCGGCTGAAGAAGAAAGGTGGTGAGAAGATGGCTCTCTTGGAAAAGCAAATCTTGGAGAAGGTCAGCAGCCCTTTCATTGTCTCTCTGGCCTATGCCTTTGAGAGCAAGACACATCTCTGCCTTGTCATGAGCCTGATGAACGGGGGAGACCTCAAGTTCCACATCTACAACGTGGGCACGCGTGGCCTGGACATGAGCCGGGTGATCTTCTACTCAGCCCAGATAGCCTGTGGGATGCTGCACCTCCATGAACTGGGCATTGTCTACCGGGACATGAAGCCTGAGAACGTGCTTCTGGATGACCTTGGCAACTGCAGGTTATCCGACCTGGGGCTGGCCGTGGAGATGAAGGGAGACAAGCCCATCACCCAGAGGGTGAGTGACTCTCCACCTGCCCCAAGTATGGGGCACAGAGTTGGAAAGGAGGGGAGAGGGCTGTTCTATTCCCAAGGCAAGCAGAGCCTTGGACTTAATTCCTTTGATTTTTTTTTTTTTCCTAAAGCGCTTACATTGTCATCTTGCCTTAAGAGGAGGGGTGTAAGAGGATTAGCTTCATTGGCTATTTGGAGGCTACTTTGTTCTCCTCTCACCGGGAATGGGGGAGCCTTCTTTGTGACTGGGGATGGCCTGTGCCTTCACGGTGAGATGGAAAGAGCTGAATCCATAGTCAGGGTCTGGGTGTGTCCCATCAATAACCACCTCCATGGTGCTGTGTTCCTGAGCCCTTGGAGCCTTGATTTCCTTTTCTGGAAAATGAGGGGGCTGGACCCTAAAATTCCATGATCCTAGGAGTGAAACTTTAATCGGATAAGAAAAAGAATGATCCCGCTGGGTGTGATGGCTCATGCCTATAATCTCTACACTTTGGGAGGCTGAGGCGGGTGGATCTCCTGAGGTCAGGAGTTCAAGACCAGCCTGGCCAACATGGTGAAACCCCTTCTGTAGTAAAAATACAAACATTAGCTAGGTGTGTTGACGGGCACCTGTAATCCAAGCTACTTGGGAGGCTGAGGCAGGAGCATTGCTTGAACCCGGGAAGCAGAGGTTGCAGTGAGCCGAGATTGCACCACTACACTCAAGCTTGGGCGACAGAGCAAGACTCTGTCTAAGAAAGAAAGAAAAAGAGAGAGAGAGAGAGAGAGAGAGAGAGAATGATCCTCTCATACCTAGAACATTAAAAGTAAAATATCTCCTTTTCTTTTTAGCATGGAATGGGGGAATGTTTTGCATTGGATGAAGATAAAATTTTAAATGAAAATATGTAGAAGAAAATTTTGATCAGTTTGGTTTAAAGTGACTTGCTGAAAATTCTTTGGTTGAAAAGGGAATTATAATTAAGCAATTATGTTAAGTGAACAATGGAAAATCTCTGGAATTCTACACATCTTTACCTCTGAGTTTCTGTACACAAAGCTGGGTGATTTCACAGGAAGACAAGGGCTCAAACCTGGCTCTCAAATGCTTACTTAAAACCTTATTTTTGGACCGTTTTCAGCCTACATGGCACAAAGGAAATGAGAAAAATCATGGCAAGTTTGGGAAACTGTTGTGGTGATTTTATGAGGCTGTAATGGAAGGGATATTGACAAGACACGAAAGCACTGGAATGCCTTCTTGTAGGGGAATAGGGGCTCTTGAGGGGTTGTAAGAAGGGATATGACATGATTAGATTTCTGTCTTAGAAAGATCAATGCAGCAACAATTTGGAAGGTAGACGGGAGGTGGGGAAGTTAGGAGGCTAAAGTAGTGAGTGACCCAGGCAAGAGATAATGGGGATCTATAGAGGACAGTGGGATTGAAGAAGTGGGAGCAAACTGAAGTTCTTGCAATGAGATCTGATGGGACTTCAGGACCAGCTGGGTATGGGGGTCAGAGAAGGTGAGGGTCTCTAGCTCCAGCAGCCAGAAGGAAGAGCAGATTGGTAGGCAAGCTGGCAAGATTAATTGTGATGTTGTCTATGAGGTTCCTGTAGAAGGGGCAGGTAGAGATTGTTCACTGGGCATTTAGACCTATAGGCCTGATGCTGGGGAGAAAGACCTGGGATAGACATGAGGATTTGGAATCATCATGGTCTGGGAAGCACAGGGCACCTACTGAGTCACTGAGAAAGAGCGATGGAAGAAGACCAGGAACAGATGCTGAAAAACACCAACATGTAGGGGATATAGAAGAAAAGAGCCCTGAAGAGGTTTAAGAAGTAGGAGGAGGCAGGAGTGGCATAGTCATGGCAGCTGTGTCAGTTAGAGATGGGTTTCAGCTGCATATCCTAGAAAACCCAAATAACAACAGATTAAACAAGACAGAGGTTTGATTTTCTTGTGTAACATGGTATGGAAACAAGCAGTTGCCAGCATTAATTCAGCAGCTGCAGGATAACAGGATCTGCTCTTTGTAATTTTAGCCTTTTCCACATGTTGCAAGATGGCTGCTGTAGCCCCAGCCATCAGGGCCATGTTCCAGGCAGCAGAAAGGAGGAAGGATCAGGAGTAAATGGGCATGCATGCAGCAGTTGAGTGTGCCCCCTCTTTAAGGAGCTTTCCTTGAAGCTCCATCCAACAGCTTTAGTTCAGATATCACTGGCTGGGACTATGATCTGGCCAGCCCCTAGCTGCAGGGGAAGCTGACAAATGACATTCTTGAACATTCTTTGGTTAAAAAGGGAGTGATAATTAAGTAATTATAATTACTGAATTATATCTGGGCTGAGTAGAAGATCACCCAGCTCATGTCCAGGCCGTGTGTGCCCATGTTGTAGATGTGGAACTTGGAGCGGGTGAGGGAGGGGGTTCTAGTTAGTAAGGATGAAGAAAGCCTGGATATTGAGCAGGTAACTAACAGCCTCTGCCATAGGAGCCAAAGAAGAGAATTTCAGGGAGGAGGGTGTGGTCAAAGTGTCAAGTACTGCAAAGTGGGAACTGGTGATTAGGAAATCACTGTCAGGGCATGAGGTCTCAACTCAGACTGTGGAGACTGGATTGATTTAGAAGTAAGGAATGAGACTCTGGAAAGGAAGACTGGTCCCTAAAAGGAGACTGTTAGGTATAAAATTTTTCTTTTTGGTGTTGCAAAGAAAAATTAGTACTGGGACAAAGGATCTCTCAGCAAAGCCGTTCTTTTTACTTCCTGCAGAGAGGGTACTCCCACTAGCAATTTTGCCAGGAGAGTACAATGAACAAAGGAAAGCAGACAGATTTATTTCTTACATGTTTGGGGTTGTCCTTACTGCTGTGTCTGGTCTTCATTGGTTGGAGCCAGATCTCACAATCTAAACTAAAACCTGATTGGTGAATGACTTGAAACTTTTCTAAACAGGTAAAAGCAATGGAGAGCAAAAAAAAAAAAAAAGGAAGTCCAAATAAGGAGGGGACATAGACTGCAAGCTGGGACATACCTGTGAGCATGTCCAGCACAGATATCTCGGTCAAAGTACAAGGACATAGAATGTACTGTGTGCCTGTAAGCATGTCTAACAAGGTTTTTAGCAAAACGGCAAGAAGGCTTTTGAAGAAAGTGTTTAAAACAAACTATTATTTCTAACGCTTATGAATTTTTCTTAAACAAGAAAGGAAACTTTGAAGAGGGACCTTTTTTGACTTCCCACAGGGACACAGTGGGGAAATGGAGTTTTGAGATGGGGAGGGCACAGCAGGTTTAGATGCTGAGGCAAAAGCCAGCAGAGAAGATGTTGATCCTGTGGGAAGGAAAGACAGTGGATGATGGCAGAGTGCGGGGAGGAACTGAAGTAACACTGTCTCCCTCATGGGCGGGAAGGAGAAGCCGGCCTTGGGACATTCCTGTGAACACAGGAATGCTGTGAATCATGGATCCGTGTCCACCTAGGCTGGAAAGAACTGAAGTGCAGCGCTGCACAGTTTGGCATTTGTATTGTCTTTTGTGCATAGCAGGGGGATTCCTTGTGAGTCACCTGTGGACAGGTATCACGCTAATTGGTGCTGTATCTCCACTCACTGGAGGCTTAGGGGACACGCAGAGCTTTGGCTCTCTCCGGTCTCCCTTCTCTGTCTCCTTGGGCTCTGTTCATGGGCCATGACCATTTGGAAGGACATTTCCTTCCATGGCTCCTGTGTGCAGCTCTCTGGCTCATTTGGAACCTGCAGGAAGCTTTCTGTGCCTCCCCAGTGTGGTACGCTACCAGGCACGTGCTTAGCAGAGAGGTTCACTATCTACAGACCTTCAGCCCTTTTACCTCTGTGTCCCTTTCTGTCCCATGAGACCACACTTTGGGGTTTAGACCACTTGCCTCAGCCAAGAAGTTTTATGCCCCAATTTCTGGGCCTGCCATGGAAGCCCAGGGGACCATTAGCAAGGGTGAGGGGAGGGAGATGGAGAGCAAGATTGGAAGCCATAAAAGAGAGGAGAAAGGAAGGTCTACTTTCTTCACTGTTTACCCTCCCACACAGCTAAGCAAACCCCCTTACTTTCCTCTTCATTGCAGCTCCCACACATACAATTGGGCTCCCAAGTAGACTGTAAGGTCAGTATATTCACATTTCACAGAAAAAATGACAGATAACCTACAGGGCTTCTGTAACCACTAATATTCAGTTGTGATGTCAAAATACTGTGTTAAAGAATGACTGTGAACATTCATTCTGTGGTTTGAATGAGTCCTCAAAATTTGATGTGTTGGAAACTGAATCTCCAATGTGGCAGTATTGGAGAGGTGGGGCCTTTAAGGGGTAAGTGGATCACAAGGGCTCTGGCATTGTGAATAGATTAATAGATTAATGAGTTATCACGGGAGTGGAATTGGTGGCTTCATAAGAAGAGGAAGAAAGACCTGAGCTAGCACATCAGCACACTCAGCCCCACGTGGTGCCCTGAGCCATCTCAGTACTCCTCAGAGAGTTCCCACCAGCTAGAAGGCTCTCACCAGACATGGCCCCTCGACCTTCCTTTCCTTATAAAATACTCAGTCTCAGGCACTGTGTTATAAGCAATGGAAAACAGGTTAAGACAGAAGAAGTGACAAGGAAAAATAACCCTGAAGATGGAGGTTGAACTCTGCATTGAGTCTGAGTGGTTCTTCCAGAAAAGTTAAGGCATTGTGGCTTTGGAAATTTGGCTAGTTTGTTCTCAGAGACTCATTCAGTCTTGTATAAGTTGGGATTTCTTTCTGCTAAATATAACAGAATATCAGATTTTGGTATAGATTGGGCAGTTCAGTAATTTCACGGACAAGATCTCTGTTAAAAATCTCTTGGCTTGGGCTGGGTATGGTGTCCCATGCCTGTAATCCCAGCACTTTGGGCCCAGAAGTTCAATACATTACTAAGAAGCCCTGGCCTGATCCAGGTGTCTGAGCAGTGTCCCTGGGAGTCCCTATCTCTATTTCCCAGTTTCACTCTTCTGTA